GGTGTTTTGGAGGATCTTGAAGAAGAAGACCAAATTAAAAAGAAAAAAGAAAACAAACAAACAAAAGCAAAAAATGAATAAAAGGAACATACTGCACACACTCGAATAAAGCCAACAGTAGAAGAAACTTTTGAATAGTGAAAATCCAAAAGCATAAAAAATCACGGTTTTTGAATTGTCGTTGACCCGAACGGACGGGCATTTCAGCCTAGGAACCATCCAGGCAATCGGTTCCGTTTTACCCCAATCCTAGTCCTTGGACAGAAACTGTTGAATCGACCAATGACCCATTGACCCAGGAGGTCGATCTGTTGACTCGTTGACCTATTCAATGGTTTTTTATTTTTTAATTGGAAACTGTCTAGGCAACCGGTTCCGTTTTATCCCAATCCCGATCCCTGGCCAAAAATCATTGAATCAGTCAATGATCCATTGACTCGAGCGGTCGAATCGTCGACCGTTGACCCATTCAATCATTTTTGGTCATTTTTTATTTTTTTATTTTTTGTTGTCAGAATGGGCCGTTTGTTCGAACTAGGTGGAACAGTTCCGTTTTCGAGTCATATGAGTCACACACACGAATGACATAACACATATGATACTACTTATTGGACCTCACACACTCAATTTTTTGTTGTCAGAACGGGTTATTCGTTCTGGTCCCTAGCCATCCAGGCAACCGGTTCCATTTTTCCCCAATCTTGGTCCCTAGCCAAAAACCGTTGAATCGGTCAATGACCCATTGACCTAAGCGGTCAAATTGTCGACCCAAAAACCAGTGGCCAGAACGGTTCCCTTTTTTGGTCGTATGAGTCACATACTTGAATGACATAACACATATGGTACTGCTTAATGAACCTCAGAAACTCATTTTTTTCGTTGTAATTTTTGTTGTCAAAACGCATCGTCCGCTTGAATCAAACAATCAAACCATCGACCCGAAATAGGTGGCTAGAATGACTCCATAATTTTTACTTGTAATTTTTGTTGTCAGAATAAGCCATTTGTTTGAACCGGCCAGTCGAACCATCAACCCGAAACCGAAGGCACAGATATATATATATTAAAGGGTTGCCATTTGGTGAAAGGGGAGACCACCCCTATTTAAATCGAACTATGACAGATTATGTGGGATCGGATAGAGGTGAATTCATATTTGACTCAATCATAAGTGGATCAATTCTCAATATTAATATATATTTGACTTATATATATATATATATATATAAGAATTAGAGTTCCCTTGGTTTTTGACAATAGGATTTTGGTACTAGTATTTGTCAATGAAGAAAAAAGTCAATTTTACCTTTTCCCTTTCTTTCTCTTCCCCCAATTATATCATCTACTTAGATTTAAAGCCTGAAGTTTGGGCCCATCATTGCAACTAGAGCTGTTCATATACCGGACTTGGGCTTGGTTTTTGCCAACACCCGGCTCATAAATAGAATGTAATTGCAACTTCCAATAAAACGGTATCAATGAAAGGATTTCCATGATAGTAGAGACTACTCGGATAGAAATGGAGATATACAGCTTGAATTCATTGAGAAATTCAATGCAAAGAGACTAGAATTTTAACAACTCGGATTTCTTTTCATTGATTGGACTTGTAGTTTGGTTTTATCTTAGCCTGCCAAAGCAAGCACTTTTCTTATACTTAGACCAAGAGTGAGAGCAAGTGGATAGTTTACATCTCACCAGGTGTTGAAAGATGTCAATTGTGATGTATCAGTTTATTACTGGTGTACGATTTTTGTTTTACGATAAAATTCAAATTCATGCATTATATATTTTACCCGTTATCGAGGGGTAACCCAGCTGGTGTGCTGAATAAATTAGCCCAGCAATGACGATCCTAACGACGCATATGGGAGTGTTAGGCGGTGATTAATATTAAAAATATATATTTACCCATTGGGCTATGCTTGGTGTTAAAGAAAAGGTAGGGAAACTGGTAATTAACTCTTTGATTTTGCATTGATGGTCCTATACATTTGCATGCTGCTTTACAATCAAGAGATTCAAGACTACTTTCCACATTATTGGGCTTTTTTACTTGATGGGAGTCCAGGTATGACTACTATGGCTTGCTTTTTTTAGCCTAATTCCGTCTCAGGCTCAAAATCTCATCATTTAAGTAAATCTTTTGATCTTGGGCCCATTGAAACCCAGATATAGAGTCCGTTCATTTATTTAACCGTATAGCCTTTGTCTTTGGCCAATTCAAATTTAAATTGTTCTTAAGGGATAGCAACCAAAACGAAGTTCAATATAGTGATTTTAAATGATTATCTACCCATAGGAATATAAAATCTACTAAACTGTGAAATTGAAGATTTCAACTTTAAATTACACCATTTCTAAATTCTGCTAGGCTACAAGAAAACAAACCCAAATGACCAATACTTATTTCTAAACATGAATTTTGCATGGAGTATGGACTATTAAATCCTGATACAGAAGTGGAAAAGACACAGGACCAATGCTCTTATTTTAATGCATTTTATTTAATCGAACATGGATCTTCCGATCTTATTACTGGATGACACTCCCGATTCAATCCTTCGGAGTCAAGAGCGAGGAAGCTTCAAGGAGTCCGAGCTTCGGTTTGGATGGGCGAAGCACAACATCGGCAACATGAGCCGGGTGGAGCAGGGGTGCAACATACACACGCTGGGCAAATGGGTTGTCGTTGTTTTCGTCCAAGGAGCTCTGCTTTTTGTCAAAACAGTAGGTGGAATTATCAATATCATCAAAATCTCAGCAACCAATTACGAAACAATAGGAAATTGTTTTACAGTTTTAGTTGCTTACCATTATTAGTGAAGCGAGCTGCCTCAGCTGGGAATACCGGACAGAGTACCAGCGCTAAGATGAGAAGAGTGGCCATCATCGATATGCCGGACTTAGCTGCCATTTCTTCACAAGACAAGGATCAAGCTAGGATATGTATGGAATATTTCGTATGCAAGGGAGAGATGGGGTGAGAAGTCTATTTAGAATTCTTCGTTTGCGTTTCGATATGTTCTGAATGCCGCTTTTTTTGAATAGGAAATTGATTTGGTTTTTGGTTGCATTGTTGATTGATTCTTTCGAATCCCATTTATTTTTGTTAATGTTATCTCAACGTTCAATAGTCAAGCTTCATTGAAGCACACAAAAGAAGAAAAAAGAAAAGTCAAGCTTCAACCTTTCTCCATTTCCACACCTAGTGAAGCAAGTTGATAAAATTTCTGATCGTCTTGCTTGATCTCACGATCTTAATTTCTGGGTAAAAAGTTTCCTAGGAGTTACCGCTAGATTGAAGGCAGCTTCTCAAATTGAAAGATGGCATGCAAAATTAGTTGGTACCTTGCAGAATTGCGTTCGGTTCAAGTCTTGTGGTGCATTGTTCTGTTTCACGGTTCATCACTTCAAATTTGTTCCGTAAAAAATTTAGGTGATGTTTGGCATTGATCGTCCAAGCCAAGCCACATGGGATAAAGAATTGGTGATTTTCAGCCTGTTTGGTTGGTCTATTTTCGTCATCTTTGGGAAGTCGGCAGAAAAAACAACTCCTGAAATCGGCCCATCTTGAGGGATCACCATTTTCAGTGATTCCCCGATTTTTAAGTGATTCCTATTTTTGGAGTATGACATGGCATCCATTATATCTCCAAGAAAAGGATGATTCAAAAGAAAAACAATCACCCTTGAACATCAGTACCAAACATGTTGCTTACATGACATAAATGATATCAAACAACAGTATCTGATCATTTTTCAAAAAACACCAATTCCAGAAATCAGTCATTTTTGGGTAATCGTCATGGAGGAATCGTCGTTGATGCCAAACATCACCTTAACCTTATTTAACCACCCCTAATCCCTCCTTTCTAGGGGTGGATTCGAGTCGAACCAAGCCGAATAGTACGACACTCAAGCTCGACTTGCCAAAGTAGTACAAGGCTCGAGTTTGGTTCGAATTAGAACCTTGAGCTCGAGTTTGGCTCGAGTCAAGAATTCCTAAGCTCGAGCTTGATTTGAGAAAAACAATATTTTATATAAATAAAAAATTAAATATAAAAAATATTTTTATTTAATATTTAAAAAATTAAAAATTATAATATTTTTATTATTATATATTATTTTCTATAAGTTTATATATATATATATATCTATATATATATATTTAAACTCGACTTACGAGCCTCATGAACCAAGCTCTATTAGGCTCAAGCTCCGCTTGTTTATTAATTAAATCTATAAATTGGGCTCAAAAAACTTGATTGAAACTGAGTCGAGCTCTTACTCAAACTTGTCTAGTGGCCACCCCTACTCCGATGATGATGAATTGACTAACAGCATTGTCCTAATCAAGTTAATTGAGTCGATAAAATTGGTTTAATATTTTAACATGATCAAATGTTATAGATTGTAGAATTCAACCAAATAGGCTCATAAATTTAGAACAAAAATTTCAGTTCCCATGGAATTGAGGAGTTCGATGAATTAAGCTATGCTCTTGAGTGCTTATTGGATAAATGAATATGAGTGTTCCGTAAAAAAACGCTTCTTTCAAACGAGGGTAGTATAGGTATGTGGTGGGCCAAGACTGGCCAGAATTGCAATGATCACTAATTGAAAAAGTGCTAAAAAATAAGCACTTATTTTTGGCTTCTTCAAAAGGGTTTTTTGTTTTTTTTTTTTTTGGAATAAAAACTTATTTGGCCTTTTCCCCCAAAGGCACATAAGTGCTCATTGGTGTGATCCCTACCTAAATAAGTTCTTAAAAATAAGCACTCCCAAACAGAGTGTTTCCACATGTTACTAGGGACATTACTCTGTTTTATGGTAAGTGGTGTTTCTCACCTCTCTTGGCTTTGTGAGTTAACACATGTATCTCAGTTAGATATTGGATTTTCACTGTGCACATATAGCTCTTTTCAACCTTCTATTTAATTTGCATGAAGATTTGCACAGCGAAACCTAATTACTCTAGAGGTTTTAGCATTTTGAGGTTTCTATGAAAGTCTGAACACTTACTTTTTATTGGAACTCCAGGTACAAAATTATTTCACATCATATTTTCACTACATAAAGAAAAGGGCATCACTAAAATTGGGTATTTTATTCATCAATAAACCACTGGAAAGTAGTCGCTCTAATGCTTTTGTCTACCATCCTGATCCAAAGCTTGAAGTTTCACCATCTTAGTTTTGCCGGGAAGTACTGTAACAACAATTCAGACAGACGGTAAGGAAGCCGAGAGAAGAAGAAGAAGAAGAAGAAGAAGAAGAAGAAGAAGATATCAGCTTATAATACCTTTTCAATTAGAGACAGATAATATGGCTTTACTTTTTCAACATCAATTCGAACTTTGCTTTTACTGTAGAGGTCATACTTGCTGCAAGTATTGTGGAAGTGTAAAATTGATATTACTATTTCTCTATAAAAGCAGTGATTTTAAGCAAATCAGGGGTTGTGTTTTACTTGAAAATGTGAAGCCACTTGAGATTCTCAACATCCTCCTCATTCATCAGGTGCCTGTATGCTCCACACCTATGTAAAGCTGCAAGATGACAGATTGCAAAAGCTTTTTATTATGATAGATCAATTGCAAAAATATCTCTACCTATGATTAGAAAACAATTAGGAAAAAAGAAAGGACTCATCCCACTTACGGTAGAAGGAATGGTATCTGATAATGAAAAGTGCAGCTGGTGGTAGAGTTGTCTTATTCTCCTTGGCCACCTAAAAGGAGAAGGTACTATTAGATTCTACTGTTACATGGGTTAAAATACATATCTAAAATGAAATTAAAGCTCAGTTTGGAAGGAGAACAAATACAAATATGTACTGCAAAACCTAGTATTTTGTATTTGTACTCTTTCCAAACTGAGCCTGAGGAAAGAAAAAAACAGAGTCTATGAATGATGGAAAGGTTTAGAATAGCATGAAGAGAATACCAAGTACATATAGTCATCATGCCCCCATGACATCATTACATTGTCAAGCCCACATCCCTTTGAGTAAATTCCGTATTTGGTATTGTAAGATGGGTTATTGTAGTCTGGATTGTCCTTGAAATACTGTAATTCCACAAAAAAAATTCAAACAAATGAGTGTCAGTTTGTTGGTTATAACACAATAAAATCTCTAACTAGTTTTGTAGACAGTGGTTTTAAGAACAAATACCTTGTGATGAACGTTTGATTCATCGAAAGAGCACCCAACAGGGAATGTGTCACCTGTAACAACATCTCATCGAGTAGTTTGAAGCAGGAAAGGAAAAACAGAGATTACTCTGATGGAAGTGTGATTCTCACCTACAACAGCCCATTGAGGAAGTTCACCAAAGCTAGGATGAAGTAGAACCTTCCCTAGATCTAGAGCCCATGAAGTAAAGAATCAATTTCTCCTTGTATAGATGTTGATAAAAACAAGAGAAGAAAAAAACAACCCAATAAAAAATGTTTAGGCTTCTTGGAAGTAAGTAAAATTTTATTCCAAATCTTAATTTATTTTTTTTTTAGTTTTTTATTTGATACTTGATAGGTCCTGCCAAACAAACTTCATTCCAGTGAGAAATTGGGGTGGGATGTATATACCATGAATAAGGCCTGTCAAGTGCAACCAATCTTCATCAGGATAGTCCTTTCTGATGGCTTCAGCTGTTTGCAACAGGTGTTCACTCTGAGGTTCATCAAGGTCTGGATCACTCTCATCCACATATTCATTTAGAAGTTCACAGCATTCCCATATGCTCATTTCTGCTCTGTTTAATTTACCATATTCTTCCCTCATTCTCTTTACCTACAATGGCAAAAGTTGGTGCGTGGAATCAAGATCATGATTTGAGGTTCTTATGATACCATATATAGGAGAAATTTCATCAAGGGTTGCTTACAAAGTCATAGGATTGGTTAATGTGATTCATCCGGTAGAATTCCTCAACAGTGTTTTTCCTCTCACTTTCTGCATTATAATCCCTGTTCAAGCATTTTCAGTCAATTTATAGTCTTGGCAAGCTTTAGGCTTTTCCCCTCCCCTATGTAATAAAGAGTTGCTTCAATCAGGCCATTAATGGGTGGGCTGCCAAACATTAGGACTGGTTCTTACAAGCCCACTTTTTGTGTATATCTAGTAGTGGGCCAAGTTTGGGTGCCCATATGCAGCCCACCCCACTTAGGTTCTTGTCATTAGCACAAAATAAGACTTCAAAATGAGATCTGAATTTACGGTTGAAAATTGAAATCACTGGAATAGAAAGTGATGATAAATAAGAAACAGACCTAAATGTGTGACCGAAAGAATTGGTCTCGGGTACCACAAATTCGCCATCTAAAACCAATTCATGGACATCATCATCACTAAGGGGGGCCTGCTTATCCTCTTCTTGATATCCTGAGCAAACAAAAATAACTTGGTTTGGCTTTCATGGTCACAGTCTAAGAACCAGAATTGAGAAAAAGGGGGAAAAGCGAGAAGAGAGCAAGTCAGCAAAAAAGAACGAACAAGAAAGATACCAAGAAGCTCAGGTTGCTGAATGATCACCGTCATTTTCTCCCTCAAAAGAAAGAAAGAAAAAAAAAAAGAAAGCAATGCAGAAAGTGGAAAAAAATAAAAAAAAAGGCTAAAACAGAGAGAAAGAGAGAGATTTGGGCAACAAAGGGATAGATGATAGATGTGGGATGAAGAGGTAGATTGGAAGGAAGGTATTTATAAGAGCAATAATGTCCTCGTTTGACAATTGAAAGGGTTTGAGTCCTCGTTTGACATTCTTTGTTTCCTTAGCTTTTCCGTTACAAAAGGACATTTGACATCTGGAAGTCTTGGAGCTTTGAATCCAGTAATGAGCGACGAACGGAACGCAATACGTGGCCAGAAGATTTTTCATCCTTGTTTTCCTCCCTAAAAAATGAAAAAAAAGCGTTTCCGATATTTTCGGTGGGAATGACTCAGCTTTGCGTGGAGGGAGGCGTTTCAGGAATTGATTGCAGCAAGAATACAGCGGAGGATGGGGCCCACTGACGTGGTATCCAGTCAAGACGATGGCTTCCTTCCAAAAACCAAGGGTACTGTGGTACTGTATTGGAGTTGTTTTATCTTTATATGTGCCACGTCGGAGCAAGTTGGGAACAAGATCTGTCTACGAGCCCTTGAAAGTAACATGCATCAAACAATATTTCGCGATGAGTACCTCCGGATCAACTGACGGTTTAAGATGTGCCACGTCACATGTTCCGTATAGATGCTCTATACGATTTAGTTTTTCAATCAGCTGATTCCCCCACAACGTAGTGACGTACCACGATACATTCCCGCCGTGTATTGAAAATATCTCCCGACGATAATATCATCTTTTCTGGTATGATCATGAGTAGATGTTATCGATACATGATGTGGATGTGAGGGGTTGATTTTAACTCTTTTTTAATGGATAAATTACAAAGACCTCCTTTATTATGGGGTCAGTGACAAGATCCCCCTTGTACTTTTTTTTGGATAAAATCCCTTTGAATTTTAGCTGCTAGACAATGACCCTCTTGGTCGTTAAGTCAAATGATAGAAAACGTTAAATTATCAAAATATCCTATTAAACTTTTTCTATTTTTTTTTCTTACATTTTTTCTCTTAAAACCTATTTAACCTAGGAAATGAATATCTGATCCTCCAGATCCCCCATCCGACACCCCAAGAGTAAAGAGAAACGCGACTGGTTGGGGGCTTGAGGAGGACACCCCCAAGGACACGAGAGAAAGAAAAGAGGAGTGGTCAAGAGCACGGCGAACATGTCAGGAAGATGAAATAGATACTGTATTCCTTTTTCTACTACCGTAGACCTTATCTTATTTTATTCTATGTTATCAAGGTGGAACCAGAATTACAACAGAGAATTATTTCTATCTTCTAGAATTTTGATATTTTCCTTCTTATTGTATCTTCTATGTTAAACATATGCAATGTGACAAGCTAAAGGATGTTACAGTTCTAAATATGACAACCTTAGGCTGCATTTGTTTCTGGTGTAAATGTACTTTACATTGATGGAGTTGAGACACGATGGTTCAATGAGAGTGTAAAATACGGACTGGCCATTGTGTCCATTTATACTCATCCTGTTTGGTTACATCAACGTAAATGGAGGTTACCTTATTTTTTGGTTTGTTGCAGCGGGAGATTTATTAGAGAGAGAGAGAGAGAGAGATGGTGTCTATTTTTTAGTCCTAAACTAACTTTCAACTGGTTGCAGTGGTTTGGATTTGGGTCCTTTTTGGCTCTCCCTTCGAAGGGCGAGGTTGGGGTACTACTTGAGGACGATTTCTATTATGGGTCCTCTCCAGCTCTCCCTTCGGAGGACGAGGTTGGGGTACTGCTCGAGGACGATCTCTGTTTTGGGTCCTCTCCAGCTCTCCCTTCGGGCAATGATGGAAAGAGAAAAAAAGGGGGGAAGAAGAAGAAGAGAGAGAGGGAGAGAGAGAGAGAGAGAGAGAGTTTGTTTTCTAGTCCTCAACCAACTTTCAACTGGTTGTAGTGGTTCAGATCTAGGTCCTCTGTGGCTCTCCCTTTCGGAGGACGAGGTTGGAGTATTGCTCGAGGATGATCTCTGCTATGGGTCCTCTTCGGTTCTCCCTTCAGAGATGGGTTCAGATCTGCCGTTGCAGAAGAGAGAGAGGAAGAAAGAGCGATTACCTTTTACATCGATAATTTCGATGTATTTATTACATCGATTATTGATGTAAATAAAATTCAAAATGTAATTTTACACCAATTTTCAGTATAAAATTACATGTTTATCAAATGCCACTAAAATCAAACTGGGGTGTAAAATTTATTCCGTTTCGATTTTCCACCCCAAACAAACGTAGCCTTAGGAAAAGTCAAGGGGTTGGAGTAGAAGAACCAACCTTTGAGCTATCAAGGTGATAAATAAGCAACACTAGTTTACTTTCTGATGAAAGTTATCACAAACATTTGACAACTCCCATGCTGTGAGATTGAAATCAAAGCGCAAAATAATGGTTAAGAGTGAAGAGGCGCATTCTCATAATGAAGCACACTATTTTGAATACTTTTTCCTTATAAAATTTAGCATCATTTCAACTATTTTAAAGTTCTACTCTTGCCGGTACTAGATGAACATCTAAGTGCTTAAAGTCCTCTTTGTCTCAAGGTATGTTTAGTTGCTCAGGCCTGTTGAACTGGTTCAATAGGGTTTGGTTTAATTTACCAGAACACAATCAGGTCCAAGTTTGTCATGGTGGACTTTGGTTTGGTTTAGGCTGTTAGTTGTGAATTTTTGCATGCCAGGCATTTATTTTAGTCAGGTGTCATTTGGGTTACTGGCTTACTGTCTGCGTGTAGGCTATATATCCAAAGTGCCCATCCTCTCTGCATGTGAGCTATGGGTTTTCAATCGCTAGACTAGAATCTTCCTACCTTTCTTTTAGTCTTCACGTGAGCTATTCCAACCTGAGGAATTTGTAGTTAGCATTTCGGGGCTACAATCTACAATCTTAAATACTCCAAGCAAGATGCTCTAAATTTTATGATACATGGGAAGATTTTTCTACACCAATGCAACAAAAAAGAAAAAAAAAAGTAAAGAAACCTAATATTTTGAATGACGGGAAGCTCTTAAGTCAGTAATTACAACAGAATTTGAACCAATTCAGTTTTTTGGCTCACAGTTAAGGAAAAAGAAAAGGTAAGTCTCATGCTCTAGCGTAAAACGAAGGAACAAAAACAGAGACTTACCAAAGGCGAATGAAAACAGACAACTCCTCGCGCTTGCAAAATTCTCTGCACTTCAAATTTTCCAAATTGGAGTGCTATAAAGAACAAAATTCAACCCAACCAATTTGCATTGAATTTGGAAATACCAAAGGAATAGAAAACAAGCTTGAGAGTCTTGGTGGTCGGGAAGAAAACCAGCTTGTCTTTTCTTCTTCTTCTGCATTTGCTGCAAATTTTCCTTCTGCGCTGGACGTTGATCGGATATCGCTTGAGAATCCTGGTGGTCGGGAAGAAAACCAGCTCGTCTTCATCGGCCAGAGCCCAGCTGTAATTATTTGTTTAACGATTAATGAGTTAATCTTTGAAAACACAGAAACAGAAACGCAGAAAAAATTCTTTTTTCTTTTCCTGGTGCATGTATAAATCATATCTGAAGTGGGTGACGAGGTGGTGGAGGAAGACTGAGATCTCGAGTCGAGCAAGCTCATACCCAGGACAAAACGAATGGCGTAAACAGATTCCCCGTCCATGTTGCTGCTCCCCCCGTATTACTCTGTTTCAATTATACTTTTTAAGTTACAACGTCTCTCTCATTATTTCATTGAAATAAATAAATGAATGAATTCAACAGAGAGGGAGAGAGGTGGGGGACCAGCTGCCATCTCCAGGGATTAAAGGTTCGAGCGTCTTTATAGTGGTTTTCGTCCAGATGCACAGCCCGAAGTGATGCAAAAACTTTTCAACCCTTTGGTATGGTATAGAGTGCTTGAGGTTCAATCGAGAAGACAATGAACAGTATAAAAAGAATAGTTTGGGCATTTAAAAATTTTAAACGTTCAAATGAGAATCTTTTTCAAAATTAACGAATAGAATACTAACGGAGGGGGTCTTCATCTAACGGTCAAAGTTCAGAGGGTCTTTATCGCAAAAAAAAAGTATAGGAGGAACTTTATCACTGACCGATAGTACGGGGGGTCTTTATAATTTACCCTTGTTTTAAATTTTATTACCGTCGGCTATCGTGAAATATTTGGTAGAAGGAAATCCGGTGTCTCGCGACCTACCGAATTAAATTAACTCGGATGCAAGAATGACGAAACGGAGCAACTTGTTTTTGAAACACTTTCCTTCTTCGCCATTTGGTTGGCGGGTCAGGCCGCTGAGAGTCTGAGACTACCAGATCTTTGTTAGTGAATTATAACGTATCATAACCAACGAGAGGACGAAAGTTTGATTTCACCAAGGGTAAAAAAAAGCAATACATGGCAGCGAACATGCAGTGCAATTACATATTTCGCCCATGGTAAAAGCTGGATTTTCTGGTTTGACCAAGTTTAAAGGGTTACTGGGACATGCTTTTTTTTTTTTTTTTCCTAAGAAAATAGTAAAATTTATGCTATTTTAGAAAATAGTTGTCCAATTCCTCGTATTGATTCTCAACTCCTTTAAAATTTTGTATTATTTGAGTTTTTAAAGAAAATAAAAAATAAATAAATTTGGGGTTATTTATAGTTGCCCACAATCAAATCAATTAAAAAATTGAATATAATTTGAGCATTTTTTAACACTAGCCCGTGCATGGCACAGGAATACTTACCATATTCTAAAATGCACGCTGTCTACATCAGACTCTTGGTATTGTTTCTCAACCATTTAAAAATTGAGAATTTTGTGATTTTTTGATTTTCTAAACTAAAAAAAGTTAAATATGAATCTGTTTGAGGTCACCCACATCAGCCCTTGCATCGCACGAATCCTTTCTAACAAAATAAATTGCTTTGTAATCGATAGGATATGATCTAGTAATAAATGCTATTGCCTTATTGCCCAACTAACCATATAAAAGGATGTAAATGTAAAAATCAACATTCATGGCACTACACGTTAACACATTTAATAAAAAGGAGGGCAATACTCTTTTACCCCATATATATATATATATAATAACGTGTCATGCCTAAATACATTTCCAACGGCATGAGTTTCTGGCCTATGATAAAACGGCATCTACAAGAAAGGGATAAGAATATAATAGCACGACAAATGAATACTAGAGCCATGTCGTGGTGGGTGGTGGCTCTATTGCCACCTGGGTTGAGGGGTAGCGCCCATTATATGCACCAATGGCGGAGCCAGAAATTTCCTTTTGGGAGCGTCAAGTGAATTTCGCTTTCGACCGTTGAGTATATATAGAAGCATTAGATAGTGATCCTTTAACATTTCAGTTCAAGTTTTGGAGGGGTTAAGGACTCACTTAGGGAGTGATGGGTGGTTCAGTTGGTAAATTAGTTGATTTATTCCAGAGGAGATGTGGATTTGAGAGTCGGATCTCATGCCCGCAAGGATTCTATCCACACCTACACACTGGATATTACAACTGTACATTAAGCGCATCTTCCATATTTACATATTATCCTGTGGGTATATGTGGATAAAATTCTTGTAAGTAGAAAATCTTGATTCTTTGAAAGAGAGTTATTATTAGTGTGATGATGTGGAGTTGGGATCACACCTGCCAACAAAACAAGTTCCAACATCCTATCAACTTGATTTGACATTGTACATCTTGCTATAAAACTGAAGCCCACCATAAAAGTGGGACCCGTTATATATGAGATGTGCGGTTTGTTGGCAAATGATTCGAACTCGATGCAATGCTACTTCTAGAAAAGGGAAAAAAAGGATTATGGCTCTGAGGAATTCAAGCATATAATTAAATGCCAAAAATATCTCATTATTTGTAATAATTTCAATATATTAGAATTTTTTTTTTATTTTAAATAGTGGCACAGGGGTTGGGGGACGGGCTCTCGTTGCATGGCCCCATAAGAAAAGGCCACTAGAAGTACAAGAGTATATGGACAAATCACCACTAAATGAGAGATAACTTTTGGGTTCATTTCATATTAGTGGTTTGTATGTATAGATGAACTAGTAAGTGTGCATGTGCTTTGTACGTGACAATTCTAGATGATGATAATGAAGGAATAATGTGTCCAAAATTTTCTATAAAATTCATATATTTTTATTTTTTGTTTTATTTTTTTTTATTTTTCACTATTAATTGGATGTAGATTGCAAAATATGAATTTGATTATGTAAGCACCTCATATTGGGCTGCAAAGTTTTGAGTATCATTGGCAGATCTACCTAGTTGGTTAGATTCTTCTTTTTGTAATGTTTTTATCTTATTATTATATATTTTTTTGTTCATTTATCAAAAAATGTAGGACTTAAAGAGAGGGAATTAAATGATATGAAAATTTTGTACTTCAAACTATATTTTAAACCTCACAATTAAATAGGATTAAATTCAAAAATGGGTATTTTAGTCACAAGAATGTTCCACGATCTTCTTCATATGGAGTTATATATGTGTTCATTTTTTTTTAAATTTCTGTGTGTAAAAATAATACTATTATGTACACTTATTTTTTGTTTAATATGACAAATATATGATATTATACATGTTCCCAAATGTTTTTTTTTTGTAAAATTTATGTATATTTTTTTATTTTTGTGTTTTTATGTTTTATTAATTTTTATTATTTAACTATGACATTAAAGGTTGATAGATTTAACCCCAAAAGTTGAACTATTGATTTTCGCTGAACAGGAAAATAATTTATTTTTTGGTTAGTTTTAGATTTTACATTTCATTTTCATCATCAATAAAAAAAATTCTTGTTTATTACACTTCTTTTTAATTTGATTAATAAAAAATCATAAATGTGTCTATTTTTTTATATTGCTGTAATTTTTTATATTTATTCCTATTTAAAAAAATTATTATCTAACTATGACTTCATGGATTGGCTAATTTGATTTGGATAGTTGAATTGCTTAGTCAACACTTGGATGATGAATGAATTTATTTTTTTATTAAGTTTTAAAATATATGGGTTTATATTGTTAAAAGTATTGGATATAAATCTAATTAGTAGCATTTATTAGTGAAAAATAATTAAATGTGAGATTTAATAAGAGAGAATGGGAGTTAATACCTTAAATACAAGACTTAATGAAAGATGATTAAATGAGGTGAAAAGCATTAATTGAAATTATGTTTTCAACCTTCATAATTAGAGATTAACAAAACATCAAATTGCCAAATTTAATAAAAAAAAATTCTATACCCTCATTCCTAGTATAGATATAGATTTGCCAATATTAATAGTTTTTAACGTTTTATTTTGCCAATGGAGCACAAAGTCATTAGCAAAATAACTACAGAATTAATGATGGTGAGAAATGATTGTAACATTGGCGTGACATGTCAATGCTTTGTGGCACATGAGACCCAATGGGACATATTGGGCCCATACTGGCCTGGGCCCAGGTTAGGCTGGGCCTATAACTTTTATGTATGAAGTATTAAACATATTATACTTTATATTGATATAATATGTGTATAAAATTTAGTTTGTATATGATACAATATTTAATTATACATATTGTAGGTGTCATATTATAATATTTATACATAAATATAATGTATAATATATAAATAACATATATGTAAAATGGGACTCCGGATCACCTGTCCACAAGAATTCTGCCCACGTCTACTACAACACACTACTCCCATGAATTGGAATCATCTTCCCCTGCATACTACCATCTAGGAGGATGAGATGTTCTTCATGCGTGACTGCAATGTTGTATGGGTAGACGCGAACAGAGCATAGAGTTTGTATGGGCAGGAGATCTGGATTCATAAATTGGGTGAACTGGACCTGAACACAAAACATAGGTCCAAGCCCAAAATTTCTGGGCTAAAATGGATCTGGCTTTCCAAGCCTCGCTAAAAATGATCACCCCTACCCCCGACCTTGTTGAAAGTGGGATTAATACCAAATCTCCCCACAACCAGCTGGAGACTTTACCAGCTGTAAGAGCACAGACCTCCCCACAAACCCGGTTTAAATCATCCCAAACCGAGAATAAGCCAACTTGGTCTGATCCAATGATCAAATTTGAATCACTAAGCAATGAGCCAAATCAGGGTATAAGTAGCCCTAAAACATTAGGGCACAATACGAGGAGGACAGATCCCCAACGGCCAACATTAGGGCACTGCATCTCCCTCTCCTCCTTCCCCAACTATAAATTTTGACAGCCTCATCCCTTTCCTGAAGATATGTAGTGCAGCCCCTTCAAGATTTTTGCCACTTCCCACCTTCTCCATTCATTTGGCTCAGACTTTGGAAGTAAACTACCACTGTCAAACCCTACCATGCGCACACTAATCAGAGACCAATTGAACTAGTTGGCAACTTGGCAACGTCAATAATTTAAACCTCGAGATGCGGCTAATTGTTAGGGACATTTCTGCGAACGACAAGAGACACTTTGTCCTGATGTGATCAATTATTGAAAAATGCATGGTTTTTTTTTTCTTATATAAAAATGTATAATATTATATGAACCGCATGGAATTTCAAAAAATAAAAAAACTCGAAAATCATCTATCTAAATTCCAGAATTTGTAAGCCAGTGTATGCTAATAGTTAATTGCTTCTCTTTAAATTCCCACGGACCAACGCTAACAGGAACCCAAGTTTATAAAGCAAGCTTATCTTCGGATTGATTTTCAAAGATAGGTGGTGGCCCTCTTATCTGCTATATATATATATATATATATATATATAAATTTGGATAGAGTCGTGATGGAGTTAACTTATCAGACAGGGACAGGGACGGTGTTGAATTGTCGGCACTCGGAATGAAACCGTGAACCAACCTTTCCTTTCACTTCAATTAAGGCCTCTGAATTGGAATCTTTTTTAGACTTTTCATTTCATCTTAGCATTTTAAAAACGCCATTGCCACTGGAGAGGAAGAAAAGCCGATAACTGTAAATAATTTAATTCCAATAACGACTACATTTGGGATATTATTTATTCGTACATCTATTCATGGGCCGGGCTTGGACTTAGTTTTTGTTAAAATTCTAATGGACCTGGACCGTAGCCCAAGCCTGAGACCCAGCCTAAGACAAAGAAATATCAGTCAATATGAATTTTAAAAACAATGAGTGGTTGTGATGGCATCCTCATCATGTGGCCAATCATAGGAAAATACAAGGTCCCACAACCGCGATCCATCATTGTAGTCACACGTGGAGAACATCTTTTCCTCTTACATAGTATTATACATGAGGAAATGTTTCCAATGCATGGGATAGTGTGTTGTGGGTAGATATAGGCAGAGTTATTATAGACAGAAAATCCAGAGTCCCTAGATTCATGATGTTCCCAATTTGATTTTTTTTTTTTTGCAGAGATGCCAACAACCCTTAAGCTAGTGTTCTTTTATAAAAAAATAAATACAAAGAAGATATAATCTCTTTTCCTCTTCTTCCTCCTCCCCCTCATTCTTCCCCACCCTCCTAGTGCTCGGGGGGCTTATGCCTCTTAAACCTCTACATACTAAATAGACAATCCATTAACTGAATTACGAAAAGCAGGTGCATGAAGCAGCCGAATCTCCACAATTTATGGAAATCAAGCAAAGTCAGATAACCTAAGTATAGAAATTAGTAGACATAGTCTAAATTCACAAATTTGTCAAGTTATTAGATTGGTTGGTTGACATAAAATAGAGGAACCAAGATGAACAGAAGCAAGGTCTTAAAGAAGCAAAAATCTAGAAATTCAAGTCGAAATAAATTGGACGAATATTTAAAGCCATAAAGAGAAATCACTTTAATCACTTGTTAATTTCATATAATATAAAGTGTGAACTCTTTCAAAGAAGCTGTAATTCAAATTTTTGTTTGGATGAAAATATCAACATGAATATTCTCATTAGCAATTAACAAAAAAGTAATGTTATATGACATTATCTCATTGGAAAAAAAAGTCCTCTCCACCAACAAAACGAAAAAGAAAATGTTGGATATATACTTTTTGGCCAAAATTAAACCCAGAACGGTAAAACAAACCAATATCAATATACAAATAGAAAAAGAATGAGGTAATGTATATTCGATCACATATTTGCAGGGGCAAATAATGGTGACATCCGTAGAGGTTGACGGGATATTTGACACAAGATGCACCCTGTCAAAGATTACACAGCCTCTGTCACCATGCATTTTGGGTCATGAGAGGTGCCACATTTGGTTTCAAACTCACCAAAACAAATTATTGAATGTCCGATGCAAGTATATTTTTCTTCTTCTTTTTTGTTTTAATTCGTCAACTGATAGAGTTCACTTTGAGTTGGAACTGACGCAGTTCAACTACCAAATAATCTACCAGCCAATTTCAAAGGTAAGCAAACAATGACCTTGAATTCCATCTAAACTACAAGTGCAAGTACTCGCTCAAGTTCCTCTGCACTTCCTCCGTCCTTACCTTTGTCATCGCTGCTTTCTCTATCTTTCTTATCCACTCCTTGGTCACATTGAAAAGCCTTCCAATCTCCTCAAGAGATCTGCATCGACCATCGCAAAGTCCATATCTCAGAACAAGAACCTTCCTCTCCCTTGGATGCAAGCCTTGAAGAAGTTTATGAATATCCTTCCTCATGTGTTGTCTCATGACAATATCTTCAGGAGTCTTTATTGAGGTGTCGGGCATAAATTCCTGCATCACAAATGCCAGCTCACTAGGAGTAGAGTACAAATGAAAATAACAAAACAATGAATATCATCACATGGAGTATGGTTAACAAGGGAAACCTTCAACATTTCTTAAGTGGGATCAGATAGATTTTTTATGGTAAAATAAAAATTTCATTGAAAGAAAAAAGAAGAGTACGAGGAAGGTAAAAGAAGTCACCACAGAGTAGACAAAACCAAAATCCAAAACACAATCACACACTACCACATTAAAATTCAACACTAAACAAATACCTTGCCAACAATTCCCAAGTAACCAAACAAAACCCTTGATACAAAATTATCTTTAAACAAAGCAAAAAAGAACCCACCCCAGAACAAAAACCACCTCTACCCAAATCTTTCTTCAACAGACTTTCCTCCCAAAACCATGAAAGATGAACACCGTAACCCCTACAACCTGAACATCATTTTTTATGGTAACACCACTAATCCTCAAACCTAGAAAAAGCCACCAGCACCTCGCACCAATTGAAACTAAACAAGTTAAACAGCTACTTCAGAGGCAAAATTCAGAGACTCGTTAAAACTCTTTTACACTTTCTTCATATTTTTGGTAGGCTCCCAACCCAAACACATCAACTTCCAACCTAGCAAACACTTTTAAAACCAGGATAACTTGTTGCTGTTTATGCCTTTTAAAACATTTCATCGCATTAATCATTGTCCCTCCAAGATCATAAATCCTCAGGCTGATAAGTGTGACACAGTGGGAATCTGAGAGCAGCCAGTAGTTCAAAATCTCGTCATGTATTGGCCCATATCGTCCGATACATGTAATATCAGTGGATCACCGATATGCAAAATAAGGGGAGTTTCGTGGTAAGACATGTTTCAGGGGGTAGCCAGGCCTTTAAATGACCCCCAGAACATGATTGAAAAAAAAAACTAAAAAAAGGTGAAAGCGTGTTGATACAAAGTCCAAAACGCCCAATTCGGCGTATCAGACTGTATCAATACTTTCAATAATAGCGGCCACTTTGTGCAAAAATTTTCAAAGCTTAAGTCTATACCCAGCCCACCTCTCCCAAGACCTTAGATTTATTTATTTATTTTTAGTTTCATGGGGCTACACAACAAGGGGTAACCCATCCCCCAAACCATGGTTTGAAATGTCCCTAAATTCCCTAGTATTTCCATTTCCATGGGCAATGACACAATTTTACCGGAATCAACATATTCCCCAATGAACACTACCAGCATTACGCAGAGTACAAGAGGTAGTTTCTATGACATATTTTCATTTCTACTTCCATGGGTAGCAACATGAAATTTTACTAGAATCGACATCATCCCCAGTGAACATTACCAAAACCATACAAAGTACAAGAAATAGTATTATAAAATAAGTTGGTGACAATATTGTAGATATGTAGATTGTAGAGTAACAATGTTCTTGCCCACCTAACTTACATGATTACCACTTTGAGCTATCTCAATATTCTTAGTTTTTTTCTTTTTTTGTGTGTGTAATATATTATTTGGTTGATCTATTACAACCATTTACATTTTCTACGAGTTTAAATTTTGCTCAAATTCATTCTATCATAAACTTTTGAATCTTAAGGTTTATATGGCAACTCCAAAACGTTTTTTTGTCTATAAGCTTAGTTTCTTGGCCTGGTTTAATGATTTGGAACAAGATAATAATTTAAAAAGGTGTGCTTATGCTTCTTTTATCATTTCGTAAAAGGTCATTCTATATTTTTGCATATTTTACAATGTTTCCACCATGTTTATATTTTTTACAATCTTTTCATATGACATAGCTAGAGATCTTATCAATTAATCCAAGACAATGGTGTAGACCAACATTGGATAATGGCCCTTTTTAGATTAATTAAAAAGTATCCAAAATACAAGCACACAAATAAGTTGTATAAAGATGTAGAAAAAAGAAGCATGAGTGTTTTGTGCAATTTTTCTCACTAGAGTCAGAAACAAACAGCTACGATGCAAGAAGATGTAAAAGTATTAGACAGACAGGCCAATACTCAAGCCGAGTTTTCAAAGTTTGTGCTCAGAACTACAATCTATCATTTTGATTTCCAGTTTCAAAGAACTAGGCAATCTTCTATTTAAGTCCAGACCTTAGACTCAACAATCTGAAGTGAAGGAACCATGACAATTTGTGTACTTACCTTATCAATTATCTTTTGATCCAATAAGTGGAACTAACAGAACAGAAATAAGGTGGAGGTTTTGTGCATACCATGAATTTTACAGTCAGGCTGTCTCCCATTTTCTGATCAATTGAACCCACAACTCGTAGGCACTTCCCAGCCAATCTAACTTTAGCTACTGATAGACCTGTGCATTTTGAAATTTCATCATCATCTGGATATCTTCCATGGGTGTTGAAGAAGGACTTCCGAGTTTTATGTATCTGGTTTATAGCTCTGCTCAATGTCAACTACGAAGATACACAGAAATCAAAAGGGTACGTAAGCACTAACTCTTGTTAACATGAAAATTAATTGAAGAAACTTGCTTCCTGAAACCAACAAAAAAAAAATACATACAGGTATATGGACCCCCCGTGAATGTTGTGCCACCAATGTTGACATGGATTTCCTAATCCAGTACTGAACATAGGTTGAGAACCTGTATCCCCTTGTATGATCAAACCTCTCTGCACCTTGAAGAACACCAAAATTCCCTGCCTGCAAAATACAGTCACATTTGGATATCCAGTCCAGGATGGGAAATAAATTTTGAGAGGAAAAACATAAGATTGATGAGATTCTATCTGCTGCATTATCACAGCACCAGTGGCCTGACAATTCATCAGAAAAACTACCCATCCAAAACACCAAACTAATTGGGTGCTCCTAATAATCTCAGGTATAAACCTTGCCCTTGTTCTTATGATGCCACATCAATCACTTTATAGTTAGGATTGATGAAATGGGGCCACATAAATGAAATGTAGGGCAAAGGTTCATGGAATAACCATGTCATCAACAACCAACAAAAAATACATATAAAAAAATTGGTGTCTTCGATCAACCTGAAGTAGGTCTTCAAAGGCTATTCCCAGTCCTCTGTAGTTTCTTGCAAGGTACACCACTAAGGAACGTGTACTTCTTAGAAGCTTATCTCTGCAATACCAACCAAAATGTAGGCGTTGCTGCAACTCCTTCTCATCAAGACCCACAGCTTCAGCCCAGCTGCTGAAACTGATAACTCGCCCAAGTTCCTCTTCCAAATTTGACCTTATTCTCTCTAAGCATGATACTTCCTATGATATGAGAAAATAAAGCAGTTAAACTTTTATTAAAATCTGTTAAAAGGGATGCATGGTATGACACATGTAAAAACCTACTTTGACGGCTCTTGACATTTCTGACTCATTTCTAGCAATCATAAGTCTTCTACTTTTTGCGCTTGCTGGTCTTTTAGCAATGGAAATGGTAGACTGTTGAGGCCCTCCAATACCACATTTTGGGGATGATTTCAAAGCTGGCTTCTTAGAGGCCCTTTTTGATTCTCTCTCCCTCCTTAATTTTCTTTCTTCTTTTCTCCTTGAGGGAACTGTTATATGATCTACATGATCACTCATTTCACCATCCATCAGATATTTCTTGGAACACTCTTTCAGTGCAGAGTGCAGATTAAGAGCACTGGATACTTTGACAGTCCTAGAGAGACATGCATGGAATAAATTTAGAGCTCCAAGCTTTTCTAATTGCACTAAAATGCCTTTTTCTAGCCTTATCAAGTCGGAACTAACAAATATATCTTCTATCTTCTCAACATTTTCCATTAACAGACTAAAACATGATATCTTTCTTGCTTGTAAGCTTGCAAGGAAGGCAGATGAATCCTCTGGAGTAGCAATGCTGATATCTTCAAATGTATCATACAATGAATTGTGAAACTCCTTACTGGTGTTCATCTGAAATATCAAAGGACACCATAATTTTATTTTTCCCTGACACAATAAGATTGTGTTATGCCTAAAACAAAAGGAAAAAAAATGAAAAACAATTGCTATGATATCAAAGAATCAGTTAGAAACTTTTAAAAGGCTGATTGACCTTCACTCCTATTGCGGCATAGCCATTGTTGACAGGTTGCAAAGTTCCAGATGAGCATGCATAAGCTTTCAAAGGATCTTTCTGCAGAGTCTCACTTTCCTCAGGAATAACAGATAGGAATGACATCCTTGCTGATTCAAAATAAGCCTCTCTGCTTCTAACTATATCATTTAAAACATGTGGTGAGTATTAGAAAATGATGCTAATTCTAGAAGAAATAAAAGAAACGGAAATACAATGAGATCATTTCCTTGAAAGGAGGAGAGGAGCCATCCAAAAATAAATAAATAAAGGAAAAGGACTAACAAGAAGCTCAGCTCTGATAAAAAGATCCACTCGTCAACCCCCCATGCCAAAACCAGTTGGTTGCAGTGTACCACCCTTTGATAGAGAATCTGCTTATCATTGGGTGACCTTGACATGCAAGGAACGAGATGCATTGCAGGGAATCTTAGTTGTTTCTCTCCACCCATAAACACTAGTAGATTACATAGACCAACAACACACCCAAGAAACTACAAACAGAGCTCGAAGGGTTCAGCTATATACCTCACTCCTGCACACACACCTCCCCTAGTCAAAGAATCAGCTAGTTTATTGACATATCTAGGTACCCGATTGAGCAGTTCTCCGTTTCCATCCTTGCAAAGAAAAGGTTTTCATGAAATGGGCATTTACTCTCCAATGCTTAGCCCGTTAGTTCTTTTAAATATAATTATATAATGTTCGACCATGTGTTTCTAACACAGGTTGCACTAAACATCTGTCTCTGAAATAATGGTTCAAATGCAAATTCTGAACACCGAATAGTTTCATAGACCTTGGCAAGTTTATGCATCAACTTTACAACTCAACTAGTCCTTGTTAAACTAATCGACGGACACCAAATAATTCATATAGGAAAAAAGTTAACTTGCGATACGAAAAAATCTGCTAAAGACTCATTAATGTTTTCTTTTTTCCTCGAATTTAACTTCTAATATATCCAAACTAAGCATCAGCTACCCAATATTTTCTGACAAAACCTATTAGAGATGCATAGAGAATTTTATAGTTGAGCGTCACAAGGGCGATAACAATTAAAAGAAGGCTACTGGGAAAAAGAGCGGTATAACAATATCTGAATGAATTATACAGATCATGAGCTCACCAAAAGAGGAGTGGTTCCTGGTTGAGGAATGGGATAGGAGATGAGATTGAACTGGGAAGACCCACTTCCAGTCGAGACCGAAACCCATCCCCGCTGCTTCTGTTTAGGCCCAGAAACAGAGCAACCTGCAACCATGTCCAAATCCCGATTAAGGAAGCAAACGGGGGTGACGAAATAACGTAAATGGATATACCACCGAAGGTGTCGACTCTCCACCACCAGTTTCCCATCTCCAAGGGTTGGACTCTTTTCTCCGTTTCTCCTCGTAAAAAAGGCTTTCTACATTTGTAATTTGGGGTAATACTTACGTACCCGAATGCAACACTAAGGCTATGTTTGGTTAGAGAAACGAAGGAAAAGGCGAGGAAATCTTTACAAACATAGCTTTAGGTATCCCTAACTTTCAGAAAAATCCACTTGTTAGTATTAGTCAGTTAAACATTTTATATTATCAAAATTACCCTTTTTTATGTATTTTTGGACCATTTTGCCTATAAAGATGAAATAAATTCACAAGACTTCAGCCACCAACTACAAGATCTATTTTAAGTTTGATGCAAAATAACTTGACCCAACAAAAATGGTTCAGTTTGATTCGTTTGCCACTGTGTCGAATTCTCTGATGAATATGTTCTGCAAATCTGGACAATTTGATCGAGCTTTTGAAATCTTCAAGAACTTAAGTAGCCCGGATATTGTTTCTTGGAACACAATTCTTTCAAGTTTCCATGAAAGTCAGGATGCGCTAAGATTCATTGTTCAAATGCATAAAACTGGGCTCTCCTTTGATTCTGTGACTTATACTACTGTTCTTAACTTTTGCTCAGATATTCAAGACTGTCTTTTGGGTTTTTAGTTTCATTCCCTTGTAATTAAATCTGGGTTTGACTCTGAAAGATTTGTTGGGAATGCACTTATAACAATGTACTCAAGGTGAGGCTATCTAGAAGAAGCAAAGAGATTATTTGATGGAATGCCCCGAAGGGATTTGGCTTCTTGGAATGCTCTACTTTCAGGCTATGTCCGGGAAGGAAATTATGGGATAGAAGCGGTTTATACCTTTGTTGAGTTGGTGAAGGAATGTATGGAACTTGATCATGTCTCTTTTTCTAGTGCTATTTCAACTTGTGGCCATGAAAAAAGCTTGGAACTTGGGAGACAAATACATGGCCTCGTTTCGAGATCTAGTTATGGGACTCGTGCATGTTTCAATTTGTAATGTTCTCATCTCAATGTATTCAAAGTGTGAGGTGGTTGAGGGTGCTAATATGGTGTTTGAGAGCATGACTGAACGAAATGTAATTTCATGGACGATCATGATTTCTATAAATGAAAAAGATGCTATTTCTCTCTTCATTGATATGAGAAAAGATGGAGTATCCGAATGAAGTGACATTTATTGGATTAATCCATCCTATATCAGTTGAGAATTTGGTAAAAGAAGGGCATACAATTCATGGATTTTGTATAAAAACTGGTTTTCTGTCTAAATTGAATGTTTCTAACAGTTTCATTACCATGTATTCTAGATTTGAGTCCATGAAGGAGTCAAAGAAGATCTTTGATGAGATTATTCATGTGCTTTAATTTCTGGGTATGCACAAAATGGGATGTGTCAAGAAGCTTTACAAATATTCTCCTTAGCAATACTAGAATCCTATCTAAATGAATTCACTTTTGGCAGTGTTTTAAGCTCAATTTGAAAGGAGTCCAAATACAAATATGTATAATACAAAACACAAGGTTTTATGTTCTACATATTTGTATCTGTACAATACCAACCCAGTTGTATCAGGTGCGCTCTTGGACAAGTATGCAAAGCGTGGGAGCATTGAAGAGTCACGGAAAATATTTTGTGAATCACCTCAAACAAGCCAAGTTTCTTAGACTGCAATTATCTATGCTTATGCAAGGCATGGAGACTATGAATCAGTAATGGGTCTGTTTGAGGAAATAAGAAGAAAAGCAGTCCCACTAGATTCAAATCACCTTTCTATCTATTCTGTCAGTGGCCGATGTGGGATGGTAGATATGGGTTGTCGAGTATTTGATTCAATGGTCAAAGATCATCTTACTGAACCATCACCAGAACATTATTCATGTGCTGTGGATATGTTGGGCATGGAACCCATAGAGTCAGGTTCTTATGTGTTGATATCTAGCATATATGCTGAGAAGGGAGATGGTTTCTTCTAGGGCGGCGGCAATGGTTTCTTATCCTCACGGTGGCAACGATTTCTTCTACCTGCAGTGGCAATAGTTTCTTCTCCCCACGATGAGCAACAGTGGTGCCCAGATCGAATAGAACCCAACTTTTAATCAGGGTTATTTTGGTCTTTTTAAAATTTATGATTTAAACAATTTAAAAAATATGGGCATTTCGGTAACTTTATAATAATCTGTAACGTGAGTTAACAGAAATGGACCTAAGTGTCTATTTCTGAAAGTTTGGGGTACCTAAGTGTTGCAGTCTAAAGTTTAAGGTACCCAAGTGTTACTACCCGTAAAATACAGGGTACTTATTTGTAATTTACCCCCAAAAAACATTAATTTGATGGATTGTAAATGGATCCAATCGAATTGGAATCCAAAATCCAAACTTGATTTCTTTTTTAAAATTCAAATTGGATTATACCCATCGGATTTATATCAGAATCGAATCGAATTTGCATTAATCCAGCTTGATGCTTAACCTTAGACCAATTTGCCTAAGTTGCGCCCCTACAACCTCTACACCCATAAGAAGTTTTTGGAGAAAAAATTGTTTTTATTTTAAAAAGGTCAACTTAGGATATAATTCAATGCAATGTTGTTTGGTTTATCAGCTGGTTAGACCATTTAAACCTTGAAAACCATTAATTAGGATGTAGAAAAGGCCATTAGCTTACCAGTTCAATCGTCTAGTCCGGTCCGAATTTGACAACATTGTTTTCCCCAAAGGCCCAGAGGCTAAACTCATTGATTAATCATCTCGCTTTGGATTAGATGATGGAGAAAAGGGGTGAAAGACCGTGTCTGAAATCTGAATACAAATATACAATTACAAGATAAAGCAAGTTTAGCTAATTTGTGAGCAATTCCATTTGCTTCTTCTTTTAATGGGAAAGATGAAGTGATGAGATGGAAGGCAAGTTTCTTCACAGCAATCAGCATGAATACGCCAAGGAGGTTATAGATGCCCCTCTAACAGAAGAGAACAAACACCTTTTGAATCACCGTTGTTGTATATTGTAGAAAAACCCATGTCAGCAGTAAATTTTAAGCCTTCCTACAGATACATGTATGGCTGTAGCTTTTGCTTCCAAAAGGATCGTGGATGGAAGGGGAATGGCCCAGGCAAAAAAAGAGACCCAAAATGGTTGTAGCTTCTGATCAGGAAATCGGCACCTGATGCATCTCCTTTGGTTTTGCATCAACATCCACGTTGCTTTGAGTATACGTGTGTGAATCAGCTCGCAGCTCCAGCTTCTGTCTCTCTATTTCATTATTTCTCGAGGACCTCACCTTTTGTCGGAGACACCAAATATGCTTTAGTTTCTCTATTAAATGCCTGTGAGTCAGGGACACACTCTATCCAAATCTGAAATTTATTTTAGCCCTAACATGCATCCAAAACTGACAAAAAAAATTGTCTAAAATCATGAGCATCGAGAATGTAGTTCACCCCACAACCTATCTTGGCCTCTCATCCTCCTTTGGAAAACCAAAGAAAGAAATCTTCAGATACCTTTGTGAAAGGATGGACTCTAGGGCAAACAGATGGAAATACACCTTTCTTTAATTTCTTCGGCCAGAAAAGAGGTGATGATCAAGTCCATTTTAACCTCCATGCTTGCATACACTATGTCATGCTTTCTAGTCCGAAAAGGGGTTAGTGCATAGTTGGCTAAAACCCAAAAAAAGTTAATGTGGGGAGATTCAAGTTCCCACAAAAAGGTTCATTGGGTTAACTGGCAAAAGGTTTGTAAGAGCAAATTCAGTGGGGGGTAGGGTTTTAGAGACCCTCGTGTCTTTAATCTTGCTTTGCTATTAAAGATAGCATGGAGATTCCTTACAAATAAGGAAAGCATGTGGGTCAAGGTGATTAAAGGGGGTCTGGATCTCCCGTCCACACAAACTCTGTCCACGTTTATTGCAGCCACATGGAGAACATCTCAACCTCTGCGTAGTATTATGCAACTCCGGATCTCCTACCCACGAGAACCCTGTCCACGCCTACCCACAATACACCACCCCTTGTGAATTGGGAACATCTCCCCCTGTATAATACTATGCAGAGGATGAGATATTCTCCATGTATAGCTGCGATAAATATGAACAGGGTTCTCGTGGGTAGGAGATCCGGGCTCGTATTATGCAGGGGGAGATGTTCCCAATTCACACGAGTAGTGTGTTGTGAGTAGACGTGGGCAGGAGATCCGGAGTCGATTAAAGGAAGGCATCCAAGAAGGAAAAATTTTTGATCCATTAAGGCTCCCTCCAATTGCTCTTGGGGCTTTAGAAGCCTGCTCTGCTCGCAGGTAGAGAAATATTGAAAGAAGGTGTTGTTTGGTGTGTAGCAAAAGGGGAGAATATTAGCATTTGGGACGACCCGTAGGAAAAATGGTTTCACTGGTTTTAAGCCTATGGGCCCGAGACTAAATTCATGCCATTTTAGAATGATAAGTGGTTTGATTGACCAACAAACACATGAATGGAATTCAAGGGTAATCCATGACAATTTTGACAGTATAACAGCCCAAAAAATACTGTCAATAGACCTTCCAAGAGTGAGTGGTGAAGACAAACTGTATTGGTCCCCAGACCTAAAAGGTAGATTTTCAGTTAAATCTGCGTACCAATTGGCAAATAATTAAGCTGAAATTGACCCCAGAAAATGAGAGAACCCATGGAACTTTAACCCAAGCACAATGGAATAAAATTTGGGCTCTTAAAGTCCCATCAAAGATATAGTGGTGCAAAAGACCTTAGCTGAGAGAGGTATGGGCTCAAATGAGATGTGCTCCTTGTGTGGTGGTTCCAACGAAAATATCATTCGTGCTTCTTTTAGATTGTAGTCATTCTAGAGCCTAGAGCTGCCTGGTTTGGTGGTGCACTCAACAGTACATTTACAAATTTAATTAAATTCGTTTTCATCCTTTGCAGAATGGTGGTGCTGGTGGACATCTCAATTAGATTCCCATTTGCCCTCTGTTACATATGCGTTGGATTACTCGACAATCATGCTTTGGTCGATTTGGAAAGGAAGGAATGATTTTGTTTTCAACTGTGTGAGCCCTAATGCTGTTTATACAATTTTGTGTGCCAACAGGTTGATGCAGTAAGT